CACACAGTGGGACTTTACAGTGTGCATGTCCTCACACAGTGGGACTTTACAGTGTGCACGTCCTCACACAGTGAGACTTTACAGTGTGCGTGTTCATGTTCTTATCACACGGTGCCAATAACACTGCCTGAAGCAACCTGGCCGGGATTAAAGACCACTGTATGTAGTCAATTACAATGTTCACCGTACATATTAAACATAATGGCTTGACAACTGAAAACCAAGGCTTCTGATGCCCTGCCATCATTTCTCAGCATATACTTGTCTTTGCTTTGACTTGTGTTAAAATATTTGATTTTAAAAATTTTTTTGTTAAGAGTCATTTACTTGAATTTCATTTTAAAATGTCTTTAAATGAATTTGGATTAGAATAGACTTTCTAACAATTTTTGAAATGGCTCTAAACATTTTGCCATTTTGTGCTATGTATCATACAAGGACATACCCTCAGCATTGACAATTATAAAGTCAAAAGTCAATCACTTCTGAAAAACATTGAAGATAGTCCACATATAAAAGTCGGCTAAGATCAAAGTCAGCTAAGATACAATTTTTTAAAGAATCTTTTTTATTTTACATGTGTGTGCCAGTGCTCACAGAGGCCAAAAGAGGGCATCAGATCCCTTGTAGCTAGAGTTAACAGGTCATGAGCTGCCCACCATGGGTGCCAAGAACAGAACCTAAGTCTTCTGCAAAAACAATAAATGTTCTTAACCACTGCGCCATCGCCAGCCCCCAAAGACAGTGCTCTTTATGTAAAAATAAACAAGAATTTCCATGTCATTAGTATATAATTTTGTGTTCATTTTTAATAGATGATAAAAATTGAGACAGTGATGATACACTGGGTAAAATCCACTAGCCATGCCAGCCCAGTGACCTGAGCCTCATGTCTGGAACCTATGTAAAAGTGGGCATAAAGAACTGGCCCCACAAAATTGACCTCTGACCTCAACACGTGCACTGTGACATGCCACACACTTATCACACACACACACAATAACAAGCAAATAAGAATATATATATATATATATATATATATATATATATATATATATACCAAATGATTGGATTAATTTATCTGTGATACATTATCAGTAAATGATGCTTGGTCTGCATACCTATTTTATGGTGGCTCTTAAAAATTTCTCAGGCAAGGGGCTAGAGAAATGGATCTGTGGTTAAAACAATGCACTGCTCTTCCAGAGGACCAGAGTTTGGTTCTTAGCACCCGCACCAGGTGGGTCTCAATCATCCCTCATTCCAACTCTGGGGGATCACTTCTCTGGCTCCATGCATAGCTGCACATATGTCCACAGCATAATTAAAAATAATTTTGAATAAGCTTGGAGATAGAGAGATGGCTTGGGAGTCAGAGCACTAGCTGCTCTTGCAGAGGATCTGAGTGAGATTCCCAGAACCCACACTGCAGCACAAACCATTCTGTGATTTAGTCCCAGGGGATCCAACACTTCCTTATGCATCCAAGGGCACAGGAGCACAAGCGTTATGCAGGTGGAACACCCATACACATTAATTAAAGTAATTGTTTTTAATTCTCAAGCACAAAGGGTCACGAATGGAAAAAAGTTTTAAGAAGCCCTTTTTTTAAAAAAAAAAAAAAAGACCTAATTTTAGGCCAGCATGGTAGCACTTGGGAGACAGAGGTAGGCAGATCTCTGAGTTTGTGGCTAGCCTGGTCTACAGAGCAAGTTCCAGAACAGCCAGGGCTACACAAGGAAACAAGAGATCTGACTATATGATGTCACCTGCAACTTTTAACATTATATATAGATACATATATCTATATCTAATAATTATATAGTATAATTATTATAAGGAATCAAAGTCAGAATGTTACAGCACATTTTGTGGCACACCTGTGTATTTAACATACTTTTATGTAGTTGGTGTGTACAATGTGCCATTGCTGTGTGGTTGGTGTGTGCAAGGCACTGTTGCTGTGTGGTTAGTGTGTGCAATGCACTGTTGCTGTGTGGTTGGTGTGTACAACGCACCATTGCTGTGTGACTGTACTATACACTGTTGCTTTGGCTCACGTACAACTTAGAAAAGCTTTCATTATTTTGAGTCATTCCACTGACGGCCACTCCCATCAGCACAGAGAGAAGCTCACTCTCGTAAGGAACAGCTTGTGTGGATACTCGGCTATGATTTATAATTTTCAAATAAAATTATTTCTGTGTTTAGACATCAAAATACATTAGTAGTTATAAATTGTAATGGTGTCTTTTTAAAAGAAACCATATGGCTCTGATGCCTGAAACACAAAATAAATGAAGTGATTTGGACTGTTACTTGAAATAAATATATTTGCCAAAACTAAAACACAAAAGATAATTTTATCAATGGTTTAAAATACAATAATATGGATCATTTAAAATGTCCACATTTCAGTGGTTAAATGCAAAGATTAGAAATGACGTCACTGTCTATTAGGATCTGTAGCAGTCTGTCAAGAAACAAGCCTTGAATGAGCTGCTTTGGCCTAAGTCAGATGCTGAGGCTGCTGTGTTAAGTCAGGGAGATGTGGCTCAGGGTGAGAGCCGAAAGGCATGCAAAGCCGGGTTTAATCCCCAGTAGTAGAGAAATGGAAATGCAGCATAAGAGGCCACTGTATTGTTCCCGCCAACTAAATGGTAGATCCGCCATGTTGGCCGTTTCCCTAAGACACTGAGTAAGCACCAACAACCTGGTGAGTAACCAGTAAATTCTCACTGTTGTTCCCTACATGAGCACACCACTACAATTTCCTCCTTCATCTAAGTGTTGCATTTTAAAGTGTTGGTAGGGTTGTGGTAGACATGGCTGCCTCCTAATGTGTTAGAAGATCTAAAAATTAGATGTTTTAAATGATACCTCTAACACCACTGATACAGGGATGTGATCTCATTATATTATGTGATTAAAATATTTAAAATAAGTCTAAAAGTCATGTGAAGAAAAGAAATAAGAAAATAATTCTGACCGTTGACAAAAGGAACAACATGTTATTTCCATGCACCTTGTTAGATGTTTAAAGGCTACAGTGTCTAATCAATATGATAGACTAGGCAGGGTTAGGGTTAGAGTTAGACAGGGTTAGGTTAAGGCTATTGTTAGACAGCATTAGGGTTAGGGTCAGACAGTGTTAGGGTTAGGGTTAGCGTTAGAGTTAGGGAATACACATCGTTGGGGAAACTGAGTGAGTGTCAGAGTACACAGACATGTGATGTGTGTTCATATCACTGGATAAAGTAAAAGACTGACTCATTTATAAAGAGTGCTATTTAGCTTCCTGAAAGGAAAAGTTAAATTCTTACTCATTCCTTTATACAATAGTGTAATATACAATTACCATTTTTCAAATATATATAAGAACTAGACACATTATAGTGTATGGAAAATATTTTCTCTAACTGAGCAATGCCATAATTATTCCCATTTTACAGCTAGGAAAGCTAAGTCTGATAAGTTTAATCAAATACATAAAACTCTGAAGCGTAGGAGCCAGTAATCTAACGAGTCGTCTTCATTCTTTACTTAAGCATCTAAAACCTCAAACCACAAAGTAACAGAAGAAAAGAATACATTTTGATCTCTGGAGAAGGAAAACCTTCTCAGAGGCTGGAGAGAAGGCTTCAAGGTTAAAAGCACACATTACTCTTGAAAAGGGCTGGGTTCAGTTCCCAGAATCCACTTGGAGGCCCTTACAACCACCTTTAGCTCCAGCTGGAGACCTGATGTTCCTCTCTTTTGGTACCTGCATGTATGTGGTGCACATAAACTCATGTGTCATACACATGTATATTAAAAATATGTAAGTAACTCTAAAAGAAAAGAAACCTCTTAACTTAAAAGAAATAATAAACCTAGCTTAACTATCCTTTGAGAAGTTCTACCCAACACCCAATAGATACAAATGCAAAGACCCACAGCCAAACATTAGACCAAGCTTGGGAAGTCTTGAGGAAGAGTTGGGGGAAGGATTGAGAGACCCAAAGAGGACAGAGACTCCACAGGAAGACCAACAGAGTCAACTAATCTGAACCCCTGGGGCTCTCAGAGACTGAACCCCCAACCAAAGAAGGAGCAC